CCTTTCTTCTTTGCCTCATTTTTCTCCTATTATATAAAATGATTGAAGTCTCATATCTGATAGCAAGCTATGAAATGTGATTATTTGCAGGTCCAATCAACAGTTCAATGTTTATAGATTTAATGGAGAATAATAAACTTCATGGTATGTTTGTTTTTTTCTGTTTAATTTGTATACTTAGAAGGCCAAAGTACAATCGTGTCCCATCAAGCTACATATTGTGGTTCCAATTGTTATTACAATTAAACTGATCTCCTGCTATCAACTTTGTTTTTGGACTGTTCTCCTGCGATAGAATTTGCGATTTTATGGCTTAGAGATTGTTGTGCTTCTCTCTATTTGCTGACCACATTTCAAAAAGTTCAGTTATATGGCTCTTTTTACTTTTTAACTGTCCGGAGTTACATGGTTGCTGTTTTTGTTTCCTTTTGAAGAATAACATATGGAATTGATATCTTGATTGATTTTGTATAATTTGCTTTTAGTGCTACCCCAGCTAAGGAATGTGACTTCAGTAGAGTTGGGCTGTAGTTCTCGAGGTTATTCGCGTGCTGGCAGTGATACCAAGATTTGGTATTGTGCCATTGTTGCTGGAAGACAGAGCCAGGAACTCAATAAAATGCGTGAAGTGAGTTCTTTTGATTTGTTCTTATTTTTAGTCAATTTTACTTGGTCATTAGAGTTGTTTGTGGTTTTATGCTTGTTACTGTTTTTACATCGTACTTTCTGTTGCAATAAAGACACCCATGAGCCAAGTTGAAAACAATGGTAAAAACTATAGAGTTATAGCATGTTTGGCTTAGCGTAAAAAGTTTACTTATTACTAAATAAATTATAAGATAAATATTTTCCTCATTAGTCAAAGTTGGAATAAGTTACTTAGTTTGACGGTAAGGTAAGAGTTGTTTCAATAAAAGTAATCTCGTTTACTTGTAAGTAAAAAGAGTACGTCCATCCATGTTTTGAAAGAAAATCCTTTAAATTAAATTTTACATTTTTAAAGCTTGGCCAATGAACCTCTTAATATAAGAAAAGGATTGAAAAATTTGGGAAGAGAAGAATAACTGGGAAGAAGCAACTGGCACGAGAATTCATTGAATAGCAAGTAATACTAATCCAACAATTGCAATGATCATTAACTGTTTATTCATATCCAGTCTAGAATAATTGTTTGTATGTGCAAACTTCTATTATTTTTCCCACCTGACAAGTGGTGATAATTATATATGGTTGAAGACCATGCGTAGCATCCAAGAAAAA